CTCGCCGGCGGCCACGACGCCCCCCACTCTCGTTGAGTTTGTAGCCCGGCCAGCGAGCGCATCTCATGGGCCTGACCCAGGCTCCTCGACGGCTTCACCGGTGATCCCGATGGGCTCTTTATCGCCTTCGCCCTCGGTCGATCCCCCGTCACCGGCCTCGCTGGCCTCGTCAGCTTCGCTGGCTACGCCCCCGTCCCCACCGGCCCCACGTTCTTGCATGGCAATCTCTCGGAGCAGGTCTTTTGTCAGCAGCCTACCGGCTTCGTCGACGCGGCTTGTCCTGACCATGTGTGCTTGCTCTCCCGCTCCTTATACGGGTTGAAGCAGGCCCCTTGAGCCTGGTACTAGCGGATCACCGGCTTCCTGCAGTAGCTTGGGTTCCGAGCTACTCGCTCCGATGCCTCGCTGTTTGTCTACCACCAGGCTCCGGCGACCTCTTACCTGCTTCTCTACGTCGACGACATCATCCTGGCGGCCTCCTCGCCAGAGCTCCTTCGCCAGCATACTGCTCGCCTCAGCGCCGAGTTAGCCATTAAGGACCTCGGCTCGTTGCACTACTTCCTCGGTATTGAGGTGGTACGCCGCGCCGACGGGTTCTTTCTCCACCAGCAACAGTATGCGCATGACCTTCTTGAGCGGGCTGGCATGCTTAACTGCAAGCCCGTCCCCACGCCTATCGACACGAAGGCCAAGGTTTTTGCGCTCGACAGTTCACCCGCGCCGAATGCGGCGTTCTACCGCTCCATCGTCGGCGCCCTTCAATACTTGACACTCACTCGGCCGGACCTGCAGTATGCCATCCAACAGGTGTGTCTCCACATGCACGTCCCTCACGACACTCACTGGAACCTGGTGAAGCGGATTCTTCGGTACATCCGCGGCACCACGGCTCTAGGTCTTACGTTGATGGCCTCGCCCTCGACCGACCTAGTTTCCTACAGTGACGCCGATTGGGCTGGCTGTCCGGACACCCGTCGCTCCACTTCAGGCTACTACGTCTACCTGGGGCCCTCGCTCATATCGTGGTCGTCTAAACGACAACCCACGGTATCCCGCTCCAGTGTCGAGGCTGAGTATCGTGTTGTGGCCAATGCCATTGCCGAGTGCTCGTGGCTCCGGCAGCTTCTCCGGGAGTTGCTTCTTGATGTTCCGAAGGCCACCATTGTCTATTGTGACAATGCCTCTGCAGTCTACCTCTCTGCCAACCCCATTCATCATCGTCGCACGAAGCATATTGAGCTCGACATTCACTTCGTGCGAGAGCAGGTGGCTCTTAGGCGCATCCGTGTCCTTCATGTTCCCACAGCTCAGCAGTTTGCCGATGTCATGACCAAGGGGTTACGGACGCCTACATTTGAGGAGTTTCGGTCCAGTCTATGCGTCACTAGTAACGTATCGACTGCGGGGGGTGGGGGTGTTGAACATATTATGTCATGTATCTATTAGGATAATCTCCTACCGGTGCCGCCTCTAGTTTTCTTGTATAGATGAGGCTGAAGGCTGCCCTTGTACTTATATACGTGCACCGTGCACCTGATCATACATCGGGAGTTGCATTGCCTTCAACAGCTCACTATAAAAAAATTAAACTAGAGCTTTCACATGCGTGTAACTGGTCAATCACTTCTTGAACACAATGCAATTGTATTTCCGGCGTACACTGATGATCTAGAGACAATCTTTCTCCTAGGGTTTACATGAGCCCTAGTTGGTTACACTGGCATGAGGAGTCCGTTATGATGTGTGGCACTGGCGGAGCTTCGTGAGGACAAAAGCGTGCCGTGGCCCGCCCAACATCTGGGGTAAAGATGTATTGTATATTGTACACAACTACGCATACGAGTAGCCTAGCCCATGACTGTCCTGCTTGTGCTTGCATTGCATGTAGCCTCGCCCCGTCCTATGCAGCCTCTGTTGCATGCCTCCCTCGATTCCTCTTCCTATCCAGCAGAGTGGCAGAACGATGCTAGGGCACGGACCACGCGTACAGTCGCGCGGAGGGCGAGAGAGTGGTGGCCGTGGCGCGGAGCCGCAGACGTCGAGCCGGCGATCGCACCATCACTGCACCGAGCGGTGAGGAGGCCCGAGGGAGACCCGTGCAGCGGAGGCTCGAGCAAGGCTAATCAACGTAGTACCAATTTGGCTTTCAAGAGAAAAAGAGATGATACAATTACAGATGAAGTTAAGAAGGATTTTTCAGCTGCAGCTCTTCATCCATTGTATTTGTTGATTGATTTTTTGTGCGTTTTTTTTTAACTTGGCCCGCCCAGGTTTTTCTTTCTAGCTCCGCCACTGATGTGTGGGGTCATCTTGTGCGCCATGCTAATGGAATATTCTAAAGGAGGCCTACCGACAGGGTCAAGGTCAGCTTGATGGCATGCTCGGTCTCGAGGCTAGCCTGATGGGCCGACTTCCCATCTGACTCAACCTGGCAGTCGGGTTGGGTTTCACCGGGTCGACCTCTACCGGACCCATGCCCGATGAGTAAATGGGTCTAACCCTTTGCCCACGACCCTACCCATGGGTATACAAGCAGACCCATGCCCGAACCCGATGGGTGACCCGGCCCATTAAGGCGCCCATCGGGTTTGAAATAAATTTTTACTTTTATTTTTATACTTCAAAAATAGTACACGTCTTGTCGTACGCGTGCCTATCTGGTAGCTACAACCTGTGAGGAAGAGATGGAAAGGTCACACCTTCTTATATACTCCCTCTGTCCCGTAATATAAAAACGTTTTTGATACTAGTGTAATGTTAAAAACGTTCTCATATTTTGGGATAGAGGGAGTAGCTAGCAAGCTGGTTCCTTCTTGTTCTCGACGCGAGCTGGGACTAAACAAGTCTGTTCCTATGCCTGAGCACCAGCCTTTAGCTGCATGGGCTGCATATTGCAAGTTGAGCCGAAATTTTAACACGATATATGGACTTGAGGAGCGGATCTTTAGATGCATGAGGCCTTGGGCCAAACAAGTAATTGAGCAAAGGCCTTGAGCGGGGGGAGAGGGACTTTCATATTGATGGATGTGATCTTTGTGGTCGTGGTGTGGTGCTTATTATTAGTGTTTTTTCAGCATAGATAGCTGTTGGATGCTAGGGGTTAGTGTATTTTGTGCACCGAAGGGCCCACATGTCAGGTAATCGGGCAACCCATTGGGTGACCCACGGGCAAGACCTTATGCCCATATCCTACCCACGACTAATCGGGTTACCCATCGGGCTTACCCATGGGTGAAGATGACGGCCTGTACCCTACCCATTCGGGTCGGGTGCCAATGGGCGCGACCGCCCATGGGTCGGATTGTCGGGTTGACATCTGACTGTATACCCCGATACATTGTACCATCACAAATCACATATTAACGATAAAATGTAGCTTAATCATAGTGATCACGTAAATAAACTCACTATAATTTTAACATGTCAGTGTATAAACAACCCACGCGCATTCGCAGTTTAATTATTAGTTTTTTTTGCAAAAAAGATCTATTATGAAAAGTTCATCAGAAGTGCAGAATATCTCAAACATAATAAACATTATATCAAGATTTTGAGACCATAGAACGACCACTATCACTGCCAGTACAAGCCGCCACGTGCCGCTGTGACTGCTCCTCTATTAGAGCCAGCTTTACCTTGTCGATGATAGCAGAGAACTCTTCGTGCACGTGCCCTTAAGGGCCAACGCCCTTAAGATGCAGTCGTCATAGTTAAACCCTTGAATATATCTAAAGCACTTGACACCAAATCTCGCCACACAATGAGAAACCCTAACATCACCTTCCGAAAAAGAGGCAAGAATCTATGTCAGAGCTCTGTGAAGAACGTCCAGGTGCACAAACTCAAGGAGGATCGAAATTCAAAAGACAAACTCGAAGAAGAAGCTTCTTTATCCGCCCGAGCGCTACACCTGCGAGGACTGAAAGACCCTAACCTAAACTATTCACCAAGTGGAAGCACCGAGATTCTCCTCCCTGCCATCAGCCGCCGGAGCGACAGACAGAGAGGACAGGCGAATCCACATGCTCGCTGGGGAAGCTTGGAAGGGAGAATTTGCCCTAACCGTCAAGAGATAGGTGGGTATAACCTTAATTATTATTAGAATATTGACCTAAAAAACATAGATTGGAATATTTAGTCTCTATTGCAATGTGTAGGGCAACTATGTAGCTACCAAAGACGCATAGTTCCCCATGGCTTTCTAGCGTTATTGCTGACACAGTCATTGTGGGCCCATGGCCACATGGCCGTCAGGAACTGCCATGTCGCACAGCTTAAGCCGACAATAAATTCGTAGGAACAGCCACGAAATGCTCTGCCCAAACACTCGGCGGCGTGGGAACACGAGGTCAGGATCACGTACCTACGTTTACCTAATAAATCTTATAAACACCTTCATAGGACGACAGAGGTGTACGTTGAAGAGTGTACACGACTATTAAGATCCAAACTCGATGTACTACCTTGTCATATCACAGGGCAATTATGAAAACGAGATCGAGCGATGGGCGCCGCACGTTCACGTAGGGCCAGCGCAGCGCCTCCGTAGGGGCAGCGCACATCGATATGTCATTCACTCGGCAAGGCACAGGCAGGCAGCGCGTGGGTGTCTAGCTGTCTACCCAATCCTGGCAAGAAATTGATTCATCCAACCGCAACCAAGACTTTGAATCCAAATCCAGCAAGATGCAAATGCGTCGTTATCCCAAGAAACAAGTGCCATACAGGAAATTTTAACGAGCGCACGCGGTTAATCAGAAGCTATAGCTAGCAAGAGAACACGCACTTTGGCTTAATTTCGCCACCTTATCATTAATTACACTCTTAATTGATTGTCTTAGCTAAGTACATTTTACAGCACAGCAAGAACACATCGAAACTGGAATACAGTAGTACATGACCCAAGATTATAGAGCACCAGGATACGAGCTGCTATGCGTACGCGCGCAGTAGTACGCAGCAAGGCGAAGCGAGTGGGGATGGGCCTGGGACGGGCCGGGCTAGTGCCCGGACCCGACCTTGTTGACGAGCGCCAGGGCGTTGCTGGTGACCTGGGCGACCTCCACGACCTTGCTCCGGATGGCGGCGCGCGTGCCGGCGTCCACGCCGCGGGAGAGCCCGTCGAGGCAGGTGTTCTCGTCGGTGAGCGCCGCGCTGCACCAGGTCTGCACGTTGCTCAGGTGCCACCGGAACGCCGGCGACCCGGCCCGGCCCAGGCTCCCGTCCAGCTCCTTGGCCGCGTCGCGCAGGTGGCCCACGCTGTCCGCCATGTTCTCCAGGCAGTCGCGCGCGGGGCTGCCCTTCGCCGCCTTGGCGCCGCCGCCGCCGCGGGGGGCCGGCCCGCAGATCCGCCCCACGTACGCCGACGCCGACCGCGCGCGGTCCGCGCTCACCGACAGCGCCGCGCGCGCCAGCTCCTGCGGGCTGCGCGGCGGCGGCTTGCCGTACGACGACAGGCTCTGCATGCACACCGACGGGTACTGCGTCTCGCGGCACGACTTGCGGATGAAGTCGGTGGCCGCCGGTGCGCCCTTCGCCGCTCCCGAGGAGGCTGCGGCCGCGGCCGCAAGGGCGAGGACCAGCGCGGCGAGGAGGGGGAGAGCGCCGGAGCGAGGCATTGTTGGGCCCGTGACCTCGCTCTGAGTACAGACACAGAGTGGTGTGGGTTGGCTCTTTGGCTCGTGGTGGTTGGTCAGTTGTTTGGTTGTTTTGCAGTGACCAACATGTGTGTCTTTATATAAGGAAAAATAAACTATTACTAGTGGAGATCTTTTTTTTTTCAGTTTGGCCCTTGCATGGACAAAGACATTTGCATGCCAAGGAAGAAGAAAGTTCTACAAAGGTCCTGAAGTTTGGCAGTGTGAATTCAATGTGTAAAACCACTTTGGTGTGGACATGTGGTTACTCATTGTATTTACTAATAGAAGTGTTGTTTTCTAAATAGCCTGAGAAAGTGATGTCCTTAGATATACTATTATCAAAATCTAATATTACCCCGCAGAAAATATATATCCAATATTGCAATATCATCTAGAGTGGAGTAGTACCACGGAGATGTTCTCCTTTTTCATTTGGACACTGGGTGGGTGAAGATATTACACATCAAGAAAAAGAAACTTCTAGAGCGGTCTTGGTGTTTGGCACTCATTAAATGCATGAACATATTTCTAGTATATTTATCTAAAACATTTTTTTATAATCATGTTGAACAATGGTATTGCTAGTCAATTAAGGTGCACATTATAAGATCAAAATCATATTAAAACAAGAGAATGCGTGCAATTATAGATGTAGAGTGTGCAACTGACCATTGCCGACTTTGATGAAATTGCCAAATGCACACTTCTAATAGGCTTGCATAATATCGCACTAACTAACTATCTTGTTCCCGGAAATAACTAATTATTTTGCAATCCGAGAACTTTGGATTGAGAAACAAAAATTTCAGAATGCAGTAAGAATAACGCCTGAGCATACATACATTAGCATTCTGGCACCAGGTTTAACACTTAACTTCCAGCAAGAATGCTAGACTTACACACACATATGTATCTTAAATGAGCGGAGTAATGCACAATAGATTCTTTTTTATGTTAAACACGGTACAAACACATACGCTTATGAACAACTGCGGATTGTCAAAAGGAAAGAAAAACCTAATGCTAGACTGCAACTAAAGCCGAGATATATGCGTATAGAAAAAAGGGAATGTGATGTGTGTTCACGTGAATGGCCACAAGAAGTAGGACCGACGGAGGACCATCTTTGTTGGGTTTTGATGTGATCAAGGCCTATCTTCACCTGCAAGAAACAAAATGATACCGACCCGCATCGGCGATGGTCCTAGCTAATGTCAAATACATTTGAAAAAAAAGAGCAATGTAGTAATCCCTCCGCCCCGAATTACTTGCCTTTGATTTGTCTAGATTTACCTAGACACATTTAGATATCTCCGTAACTAGACAAATTTAAAACAAAATAATTTGGCGTAATATATCAGTAGAACTTGCCAAGGACCACTTGGTAAAATACTCCATAGTAGGGGTGCTCCTGATAACAACACAATCAATGCCAAACTAGCTAGTGCTAGACTGCGGATTGTCAAAACAAAAGAAAAACCTAATGCTAGACTGCAAGTAAAGCCGAGATATATGCGTATAGAAAAAAAAAAAAAGATGCGATGTGTGTTCATGTGAATGGCCACAAGAAGTAGGACCGATGGTGGACCATCTTGTTGGGCTTTGATGCGATCAAGGCCTATCTTCATCTGCAAGAAACAAAATGATACTGACCCGCATCGGCGATGGTCCTGCCCGTATAGCAAAATCCAACGGTACCGGATTAGTGAACATATTTTTTCTACGTGAAACCGTTGCTTTTGAAAACAAGCAGTGAAATGATAAATGCAGTACCATGTGAAACATTGAAGAAACCATGAAAAGCTTGCCGTATGATCTTGAAAACCGCTTTGGTTGGATGTGCCTAATGTTTGGTCCACACTCACGCACCACCGTTCTTCCGGGCTGGGTTGGGTCGAGCCACACTAGCAATGGGTTTTTCAACGCTCTATTAAGACAAGGTCTGGTCTTCCCACTTTTAGGTTAATTAGTCATCCATTAACACTACGCTCAGCTTGCCAAGCGCTCCGTAGACATGGTTGGCCATTTGCTGACTTCTGCTGACCTGCGTGCCCAGAAACAGTTGTGTGCGAAAAAAGTTGCCGACTTCTCATCAGGCAAGAAAAAGATAAACAGTGAATCCTCAAAAAAAAAAAAAGGATGGATATGGTGTAAACTGTAAACTGATGCCGTTGCAGCTTTGCAAGGAAAGCATCGGCCGATCGTTTCACACATGCAGAGTCTATCCTTTTGTAGTGCTACAGGATCTGATGACTCACGGGCTGGATGCGCATGCACGTGCAGGTTCCAGTGTTTGTCGGAGCCGGCACACTCTCGTGCTGCTGTGCAGTTTTGTTCAGTTTGAATGTATGGTGTGGGCCGGTAGCCGCAACAGCCCAATGTAGAGTCCACACTGCCACGATGATACTGAGCTCTCTACTGTGCAGTTTGTGTTCAGTTCAGGGCCTCTTTGATTAGTAGGATTTTGAAAATTAGGAATAGGAAAAGTGTAGGGTTGGAGTGACATAGCCATTTGAATCCTATAGAATTGGCAATGATTGTTTGATGCCACAGAAAAAACAAAGAAATTATAAAAAGAGGTTGGAGTGTATGTTAAATCTCCTATGAAATGTAGTACAAAAGATTTCATAGAAAAAATTTCTATGGGATCCAATTTTATTAATTAAATGACCAACATATAAAAAAAATCCTCAGGATTTCAATCCTCCAGAAATTCTATAAAATTCATTTGAGTCAAAGAAGCCCTGAATGTATTGCATGGACTATGATTTATCCTTGCATCACTACCTCGGTTGTCAGAGCACCTACAGCCGGATCCTCAAATTCCTTTATACGTTTGGGCGGACGAAAATGTGACCCAACCGCCCCCTCAAACCGGCCATGTACGTTTGAGATGTCCGACAACCCTCGAACTCAGCCTATATCTAGGACGAAAATAGGGAGTCCGGGCGTGTCTCGATGCGCCGGTAGCGTCGAATCCGGCAGAAGAGACTCGTGTGGAAAGCCACGCGCCCACCGGGTGCCTCCTCCGGTTTGGCAAGGACGCATTCATGGCATTAGTCCGGTGCGCCATCCAAGGGACCAAATACGTCTACTTAAGCCAAACGTCGAAGAGGAAGAGAAGCCGAAGATGCGGCTCACCACCACACACTTGAGAGGTTTGTGGCCCTCCCCCCTCCCCCCCCCCCGTCGCCTCCTCTGAGGCGACTCGGGGGCCAACCCTAGCGCCGCCGCCACGTTTCCCCCTCTCCTCCCCTCTCTCTGCCGCCGCTTGAGGGCCTCCGAGGCGCGGGTGCTCAGCCCCAATGATGGTGGCGCGGGATCTGGCGCCTCCTCTCCGGTGGAGGGCCTTGGTTCCCTGGGCGGCGGCGCCGGCCGGTGGGCGCGGTGCAGCCGGCGGGCTGTGCCAGCGGGCTCTGGTGGGCAGCCTCCCACGGCCGCGCGGGCGGCGTGGGGGCTGCGGACGCTGGCGCAGTGGCGGCTCCTCACAATCCGTCATGGCTCTATGTAGAAGATTCGCCCCTGCTCCGATCTGTCCCGATCCGTGCTGGCGCCGGTCCTTGGCGGCTGCTTTCGGCGTCCCCTATTGCCGTCCTGGCGGATCTGGCGTGCGGGCGAGGTTCCGGGGGAAACCCCTGGCTGGCGCGGTGGCCTCCCCAAAGGCGGCGCCTTTGGCGCCGATCCCCTTCCTGGAGGCTTTGGGGTGGATCCTCTCCCTTCCGCCTCCTCCTCGAGCTATGGTGAAAGCTTTTGTTCCCCTGTTCTGGGCGTCGACGACACGCTGGTGCCGTCTTCCTTCTTGAAGGTGGCGGCTGGGAACAGCTCTTGGTGGCGGGGCTGCTGGTGGCATGGTGGCGGTGCGCTCCGGCCTTCTACTTGGTGCTGCGCCTTGCTTCACGGGACCAGTGGACGGTTTCTTTGGTGGAGCGGTGCTTTATCCATACATTGATGGCGACGGATCTTGACGGCGTGGCGCAGTGCAGATTCGGAGTTCGATGTGGGAGGATGGACTCGCGTAGGAGGACGACACTGTCTGGCATCATGGTGGCGTCGATGGCACAGAGACCTGGCACGGTAGATGCAACAGTACAACTCTGAAGATGGACTCGTGGCAGGTGGCTGCGGCGGCCTCATATCCGGCAGGCGTCCTGGTTGAGGAGTGCGCCGGACTGGTAGGTGCCCCATACCAGGCAGGCGTCCTGGTTGGGACCTCAGGTCTTAGATGTTTAGGTTTGGCTGCGATATCTGTTTGGTATTAGGCCCAGGCTATCAGCGCCCCTTCATCAATTGGATAGGTGTAACGATAATTGTTGCTTAGACGGTGGCTTTAGGCTTGCTGTTGTATGACTTTGTAAGATCTTGAGGGAATAATTAATAAAATGACCGTATGCATCGTCTAGATATAGAGGTCGGGGGCCATTCTCCTTTTTTTTTAAACCACGAGACTAGTCCATCCGACATGGGGTCACCGATATCTCACACAACGAGCAGAGTAAAAATAGGGTAGTTTCTTTTCAATGTAGTTCGTTTGCTAATGTATGATCTAGTACGTAGATGAATTTTACGTTGCATGATGTAGTATGAAAAATAAAAGTTTGGATTTTGTAAATGAAAATAAAAGTTTGGATTTAAGGATTGTGGCTGTAGCACTGGCCAAATAAAAGGCGACCGGCTAATGTCCGCGGACAAGCATATATGGGTCAAATTTGAACAGTCCGATTTTAGATGCTCTTACTGTGTTCTAGTGCTTTGGCTGCCGGAAAAAGGAGAGGGATGAGTGCCACGGAGCCTATCTATTGCTGGCGAAATGAAGCAAGTACAACGCCTAACTCCACGATTCAGCTGTCAAGCAGGCACCAGCAACTTTGACCTGTTCAATGAGTGCGCCAAGACCGATCGACGCACTTTAGGCAGTGAGATATTTAGGCTTGCACATGCCATGTCGTCCAAGCTGAAGTTAATCTTGTTAGCTGCGTGTA